CAGACTTACCACAGCGAAAACACGGTTTCAGGTCGACCAATGCTCAAAAACCCCACCGTCGACATCCGACTCGTGGGTACTACTACTACTACTACTACTATTGCTACTGCTACTAGTGCGTAGCATTATTACCAATATTTTTACTATGATTTCTAATGAGTCACCTTCCCCCCTGTTGCCAGTCTTTGCGTGCTGATCCTCAGCTGAAGGATGCTGGAGGCCTGCAGAGGGGAGGGGCTACTTGGATCTCCTCAGGTCCTGGAATGGCTTGCTTTCGGCTGGTTAGTATTTTTGTTAGTCTTATTGTTACTATTATTCTTATTCATTTTTAAAATATGTATTTATGTTATATGTATATATATATATAGAGGAGAGCTATAAAGTTCAGAGGGGCTGTTGGACGCGGGGTACCTCACCCAGCAGGAGGTCCTGAAATGATGACGACAACTGTTGTTGCCCCTGATTCCTCCATGGACGTTTGACCCCGTAGTTACAGGTTGTGTTTTCATCGATTGAGCTGTAATGTCAGTACTAATTATTGAATAATGGTAACAACAAATAACCATCATGAAGAGTAGCAATGACTAGTAGTAGTAATACAGCTAGTAATGGTGATAACAACAATGACTTCATCACAAATGAAATTTACAATAATCATGAAGCAGTTGCCTGCTGGCCCCATGAGCTCCTCTGAGGTAAGATTTGAAACACAGACGATGTGATGCCTACGAGAAAGTCTATGCCGTGATTGTGCTTCCCCTATCACATGGTAGCTGCCATAAACAGGCCCCAATATACCAGAATCCTCATTATTGTGACCCCACGCAGTGTAGTCTCCTTTGGAACTGTTTTTACATCTTATTATAGCATAACCATAAGGAATTGTTGAACATAGTATTTTCATTATAGGTTTAAGGAGACTACGGACACAAGGGACCCCAATTTCTGACTTGGTTCAACGTTCATAATGGAGCTGTAGTCCCCCTTAAGTACACAGAATATGGCTTTGGGTAAATTGTACTAAGATCCCCATATGCCCCATATTCTATCTGCTCAAGGTTGCTAAACCCTGAACCCTAAGCCGCATATTCTATCTACTTAAAGGGGGACTATACCCTGATGATCAATGCTGGCATTAACCGATGCGAGGCTCGTGCCTGTCGAAGTCTCCTTAGTGGAATCATATGAACTATAGCCTGAACGCCTTCAAGCAGTTATTTAGGGAAATATATCGGGGGCTAGTATGGGGTAGATTAAGAGGGAGACTAGGAGTTTAGACTATATAGCTCATATCTTCTTTTTGTTGCTAGCCCTGGTTTGCTTCTACTACTTCCATTCCAGCTCTGTTGCTAAGCACCAAAATCCTGCTGCTACTGCTACTCCTGCTGCTGCTGTTACCGTTGACATTGCTGTTACTGTTACTGGGTTGCTGTTAAGGAACTTAAATTAAGTTACCATAATGGGTATATATAGTAACTGATAGGGTTTCCCCTTAATATAGTAACTTAAATTAAGTTCCTTAAGCCCCTATCTTACCCCAGTTTCCATTTCATTTTCCATTTTCTTTTCCATTTGATTCTCCATTATAGGGGGATAATATAGTAACTTAATTTAAGGTCCTTAACAGCAACCCAGGTTACTGTTCCTCCCAGACCTCGGCCCAAGTTCTTCCCAGCCAGAACTATATCTCCAATATAACCCCTATATAACCCCAGTTTCCATTTTATTTTCCATTTCATTTTCCATTTTCTTTTCCATTTGATTTTCCATTATTGGGGTACCATGGAATCCCCAAATAAAAATACCACCAGGGCAGGGACCCCTGCACCGGGCGGCCCGCGAGGGCGCGGTCGGCATCTCATGCTTCTGCTTTGATCTGCATTGGGGGCCTCAGCTCGCAGTGTTTGACGTGAACAGTTCATTGTAAATCTATGCCATCTATGCATTCTCCAGCCTCGGCTGAGTTTCTGCCCGCACACAATTTTGCGCTTCTCAGCCCGTTTCGAAGCAAAGCCGTTGCAGCATCATCATGGATGTCATCGCCGTCATGATCATCATCACCGGTATCATCAAAGAGACAGGATAGAGTCACGGGACGGAAGAAGTAGATCGCTGGCAAACGCATCTTTGCGCCGAGATACACGCATTGCAGACGCTCATCTCTGCCAGCGCGGAGGTGGACATGAGGCAAAGATCCAGCGGTGCCAAGTGTTTTTTCCGGCTGTCCACTCCAAGTAGCCTTGCTTTGGCGCAGGGACACTTGCGAGCAAACACCCATGCACATCGCAACCTACTTTGGGAGGGTCTTCCTGCCATGATTGTGGCATACCCTGAATCACCTGTCTGGCATTGATTAAACGCGCTCATTCACGATTGTCTCCAGACACATCTAGTCGACTAATGGAACGTAGGATGACGGGGCTGTTTAGAGAGTTACGGGGGAGGGGCTTTTAGTGGGGATCAGCACATGCAAGGTGGTCACGCAACCTTAATGCCTTCGATTTCTCGAGCCCCGGAACTCCCGCCAGGAAGAGGTCGTGAGGACACTCCTTGCGTCGAGAGCAGACGTGCAGCGCCCAGGGAGAAGAAGTTGCTGATGGTATAGGATGAACATGGAGCATGAAGAATGATAGATCCTCGGGACTTACAGTTCTAGTAAGCCTCAGTGGAGTTCTTCTGCGTCGTAACATTTTCTGGACGCCTCTTGGGGAGCCCGGCTTTTTGGAATCGGAACCAGACTGTCTGGGATTTCACTGCGCGAGCGTCTGGAACATGTCTGCAACGGGGCCAAGTTTAGCGCTATTGACGGTCACTGCGCCAAGCAGCCTAGTTGCCATATTGCCCATGACCTTAGGTGGCACCCCCACCCTGTAATAGTGACTATAACTATATGAGGGTCCTACTACAAATGTTTGCGAGTGAGGCTGTGGCTGAGAACATTCGTGGCCAAACTCCGCGAAAGGCAAGACAGCATGCTGTAGAGGTAGGGATTATGTATACTATATGGGTTCTTCAGGGGTTACGTAGCTATACTACCCCCAATCATTGAGGACCAAATGTCAACAACAACCTGGACACTTAAATGGAAAGTGTGATCAAATGAGCTATAGTCTAAACTCCCTAAAGGGGGGTTATATAGGGGATCATATAGGGGACTATTATAGGGGTTCTTAAATTGGGATACTAGGAGTTTCGCCAAAAGCTCAAATGATGCATGTTCCCTGCGCATGGTCTGCATCAAGGTCGCTCAGATTCCTGTCCCGGCAATCAATCCCATTCTGGGTTGCTGTTAAGGAACTTAAATTAAGTTACCATAATGGGTATATATAGTAAATAACAGGGTTTCCCCAATATAGTAACTTAATTTAATTTCCTTAACAGCAACCCAGCATTTTGTCCGATGTCTGTTTGGTGTTCGGTAACTTGATACGCCTGCGGAATGGAATGTACAGGGAGTCCCTGCATGCTGCCGAAAAAGTCATGCCAGGCATGGGTGGGCTTGTTCAGTCTTCATTGTATAAACCTACTGGAGCCTACAAATCTAGAATCCAGACCCATTTTCAGGAATCCCTTCGCAGAAGACCCCTGTAAAGCCTAGCCCGAACCTTGTGAAAAGGCTTCCATTTTGGGATATGGATGGGGAAGGTAGCCGAGCGCCTTGGCTACACTACCATCGCCCAGATTATTGACAAGGAGATCGAGAGACGGGAGGCGGTGTGCATGGTTTGTTAGTATCATCTCGCTACCAGGGCTATTGGGACGCATTCAAAAAGATATGGATGTTACATGGTGAAGGCTCCTTTTTCTGTGGATGTCACTATCTGTATCCCGGAAAGAGGTGGTCCAGTGGTACTTGCCGCAATCCTGATTTGCGCAAAGATCCGTATGCGACTTCCTTATCGATTTCTTACGTGTAGCTTTCTTTTCCTTGTCGCTGTTACCATACCTTTGTCGAAGTTGCGCAACTTTCCGTGTCTGAACATATCACATGAAAGCAATCGTCTAGACTCTGTCTAGACATAACATGAAAGGGACTTGGTATTGCCGAATTCGCACGGGCTTCTCAACTAGACTCTCTTACCTCGTCGACTACTTTGCAAGCTGGCAGCTGCAGGTTCCAATCCGGCGATTCACTCTCAGGCCCTTGTTGGAACTGAAGACCAAATCCTCCCCGTGAGACACGTTAAAGGCCATATAGGTGGTCAGAGACAGACCTCGGAAATTCCTACATCTGAAGGTACTGTTTATCTGGCAGTTTCAAATCTAGACATGCATGGACATCCTCAATCTTTTTCCTTTACAGACTCGGCGCCCTGCACATCACTCTGAAAAAGCAATTCAATTTACCCTTAACCCCTACACCTCCAACGCGGAAGCCTAGCCCTAAACCCTATGCGCCTGAAATCCTAAATGGTTGTTTCCCAAAATTGGGGGGGACCCCAATATAGACCCCCAAAATATTCTAATCCTTACTATAGGGACCCCAAAAAAGGTACTCCTAATTTTTGGAAACCCCCAAATCAGATCGAAGAGCTCTATGCGGCGGAAGAGCGGGAGCGGGCTGAGCAGCAGCTCAAGGCATCTTCAGTATCCCTATGTGGGTGGTGGTCAGAATTATGGTCCCTTTTCGGGTCCCTATTATAATACGGCACCTAATATTTAGGGTGCCCAAAAAGCGACCATTATTTTGACAACCGCCCATGTAGTCCCCATTCTAATTTAGCAGTTTCCATTTCCTTTTTCCATAATCCCTATGGTAGTCC